AAACCTTCAGATATTTGACCAGAAACCTTTATAAAGTTCGAATATTACAAATTACTTAACTTCTCATCGGACATTAGTATTTTTACGAAAACATTACCTAACGTCACCGGTGAAAAAATCGGCGTGTGATCAGTTAAGGACAAAGCTAGGTAGCTTCCCGTTAAGTGAATCGTACTTACATCAACTCGTAATTAACGCGCTCATCGTGAACCATCTATAAGATGTCGAAGAAGTTCCAGACTAGAAAGAAAGACTTTATATTGTTTGTAAGTTTGTGAAACTTTTGTTTATAAATCATTGTCTGTAATAATTCTTATTGTAAGTTGTATTGTTTGTGTTAAGAAAGAAAACTGTGTATCAATCTTGTCGGCAAATATTACAAACTGACTATATATCGGCTTTTACTTAACTACTAAATTTAAATTTATCAGTTAACTCAATTTCAGGCCATTTGAAATTCTAATACTAACAATAAAAAACTTACACAAGCTTATCGTCACTAATGATCTTAGTGGCAAATTTTCCGAATCCTGTGTTTACACCATACGCCACTGAAAATAGAGAATTTTAGATTTACTTATTAATCTACAGAACTAGTCCAACAACAACAACAGTAAAAACGAAAAAACAATTATTAATTTAAAATACATTATCATGATGACTGTAGAACATTTACTACGAAACGGCGATTGAATAGGCTTGATCTATTATATTTTTTTTTATATAACTGTTAACTTATTTTTCACAGTTGTTTTAATTTAGCAAAACTATTTACAACTATTTAGTCCACCGGTGGCTCAACGGTAAGCTTAAGGACTTATAACGCTACATTTCTGGGTTTGATCCCTCTGGTGAGCACAACACAGAGAGCACATTGTGCAGCTTTCTGTTTGAAAATAGATAAAAGAAATCTAGTTAATTTTGGCGAATTATCAACATAATTGATTATTAGACCTTTCAAGCAAAGCTACCCAAGAGCTATTCGTTTCTATGTTTGAACTGCTAGTCATACACCGCTGTGCCCGGCATGGCCAGGTGGATAAGGCGCTCGACTCACAATCTGAGGGTCGCGGGTTCGAATCCGCATACCACCAAACATGCTCGCCCTTTCAGCCGTGGGGGCGTTATAATGTGACGGTCAATCCCACTATTCGTTGGTAAAAGAGTA